GCCTGGCCTGTGTTATTAATTTTTAAAAATTAATTTAAATATTTAAAACTTCTGAGTTTTAATCTCTAATATGGTAAATACTGATTTGTAAAACTTACGTAACAGATTTTGAGGACTTCTGGTTTTTAAGATCACAAATGAATCCTGAAACCAAAAAGTTTGAGAACTACTGGGCACACTGGATGTTTCCTTGCCTCTGATGAAAAAAAATTCCACTTCCCAGACAGGCGCGGTGGCTCATGCCTGTAATCCCAGCACTGTAGGAGGCCGAGGTGGGCAGATCACGAGATCAAGAGATCGAGACGATCGTGGCCAATGTGGTGAAACCCCGTCTCTACTAAAAATACAAAAAGTAGCTGGGCGTGGTAGCACATGCCTATATTCGCAACTGCTCAGAAGGCTGAGGCAGCAGAATTGCTTGAACCCAGGAGGCGGAGGTTGCAGTGAGCTGAGATCGCGCCACTGCACTCCAATCTGGGTGACAGAGTGAGACTCCGTCTCAAAAAAAAAAAAAAAAAAAAATCCACTTCCCAGTCTGGGTAAAGTGGTACATACCTGTAGTTCCAGCTACTCAGGAGGCTGAGGTGGGAGGATTGCTTGATCCCAAAAGTTTGAGACCAGCCTGGGCAATATAGTGAGACTCCATCTAAAAAATAATGATAATTAAAGAAAAAAAAAAACTACTTCTCAAGAGTGTTTTTGGTTTAAAATGGGAGCAGAGTTTCTGAAATATGAAAAACATAGAGTAGCTGGGTGCAGTGGCTCACGCCTGTAATCCTAGCACTTTGCGAGGCCGAGGCCGTGGATTACCTGAGGTCAGGGTTAGTTTAAGACCAGCCTGGCCAATGTGGCAAAACCCTTTCTCTACAAAAAAATACAGAAATTAGGCAGGTGTAGTGGGACGTGCCTGTGGTCCCTGCTACTCGGGAGGCTGAGGCAGGAGGGTTGCTTGAACCTGGGAGCCGGAGGCAGCAGTGAGCTGAGATTGCACCACTGAACTCCAGCCTGGGTAACAGAGTGTGACTCCGTCTCAAAAAATAAAAAAAGAGGCCGGGCGCGGTGGCGCAAGCCTGTAATCCCAGCACTTTGGGAGGCCGAGACGGGCGGATCACAGGTCAGGAGATCGAGACCATCCTGGCTAACTAACACGGTGAAACCCCGTCTCTACTAAAAAAAAAATACAAAAAACTAGCCGGGCGAGGTGGCGGCGCCTGTAGTACCAGCTACTCGGGAGGCTGAGGCAGGAGAATGGCGTGAACCCGGGGGGCGGAGCTTGCAGTGAGCCGAGATCGCGCCACTGCACTCCAACCTGGGCGACAGAGCGAGACTCCGTCTCCAAAAAAAAATAAAAAAATAAATAAATAAAATAAAAAAAGAGGGAGAGAGAGAGACATAGACGGTAGATTTTATTTGACGATGAGGTAGGTGCCTAGTAATGTAGGATGAAAATAGGGCTGGACGCGGTGGCTCACACCTGTAATCCTAGCATTTGGGAGACCCAAGCGGGTGGATCACCTGAGGTCAGGAGTTCGAGATCTGCCTGGCCAACATGGTGAAACCCCGTCTTTACTAAAAACACAAAAATTAGCAGGGGCGCAGTGGCAGGCGCCTGTAATCCTAGCTACTTGGGAGGCTAAGGCAGGAGAATCACTTGAACCTGGGAGGTGGAGGTTGCAGTGAACTGAGATCGTGCCATTGCTCTCCAGCCTGGGCAACAAGAACAGAACTCCATCTCAAAAAAAAAAAAAAAAAGGAAAAGAATTGCCCAAGTTCTCAGGAAATGGGAACCTATGTATCACTGATACAGAATATTTAATTGTCTGCCTGTATGTCTGGTAAATATAGACTTTAAAAGCTTTTGTTTAAGAACAGATATCTGGTCGGGTGTGGTGGCTCACGCCTGTAATCCCAACACTTTGGGAGGCCGAGGTGGGCAGATCACGAGGTCAGGAGTTCAGGACCAGCCTGACCAACATGGTGAAACCCCGTCTCTACTAAAAATACAAAAATTAGCTGGGCCTGTTGTCATGCGCCTGTAATCCCAGCTACTCGGGAGGCTGAGACAGGAGAATCGCTTGAACCTGGGAGGCAGAGGTTGCAGTGAGCCGAGATCATGCCATTGCACTCCAGCCTGGGCAACAGAGTGAGACTCTGTCTCAGAAAAAAAAAAAAAGAACAAGTATCTGTAAACATCAATAGAAAAGTTTAAGGATACTCTTCTACCATATTTTTATAAAAAACCTGACTTTTAAAACTTTTTAATGTTCACTTCCTGACTTCGTGTATATACCTACTCAATTTTTTACATAATGGAATTGTATAGTTATATTATAGGTATTGTTTTGTGTTCCATTCTTTTCCCTAATGATTTTTGCATTTTGCTACGTGGTTTTCATCATAATTATTATTCATGAACTCGTAAGGTCCTTGAGTTGCTAGATCTTAATTTAAGATACTCACTTACGTTAGTCATGAAGGCTGTTTGTTTTGATTTTTTAAATGATGTCATAACACTTTTTTTTTTTTTTTTGAGACAGAATCTTGCTCTGTCATCCAGGCTGGAGTACAATGGCACCATCCTGGCTCACTGCAACCTCTGTCTCCTGGGTTCAAGTGATTCTCCTGCCTCAGCTTCCCTAGGTAGCTGGGACTACAGGTACCCACCACCACGTCTGACTAATTTTTGTATTTTTAGTAGATACTGGGTTTTGCCCTGTTGGCCAGGCCGGTCTCTAACTCCTGACCTCAGGTGATCCACCCACCTCGGTCTCCCAAATTGCTGGGATTACTATGAGTGAGCCACCACACCCGGCCCACATTTTTTTAATTTTTTTTGAGACGAGGTCTTGCTCTGTCACCCAGGCTGGAGTGCAGTGGCGTGATCCTGGTTCACTGCAACCTCCACCTCTCAAGTTCAAGTGATTCACCAACCTCAGCCTCCCAAGTAGCAGGGATTGATTACAGGTGCCCACCACCACGCCTGGCTAATTTTTGTATTTTTAGTAGAGACGGGATTTCACCATGTTAGACCTGGCTGGTCTCAAACTCCTGACCTCAGGTGATCCACCTGCCTCGGCCTCTCACAGTGCTGGGATTACAAGTGTGAGCCACCACTGTTCCCGGACCATAACATGCTTTTTTTTTTTTTTTTTTTTGAGACGGAATCTTGCTTTGTTGCCCAGGTTGGAGTGCAGTGGCATGATCTTGGCTCACTGCAACCTCTGCCTCCTGGGCTCAAGCAATTCTTGTGCCTCAGCCACCCAAGTAGCTGGGATTACAGGTGCAGGCCACCATGCCTGGACAATTTTTGTATTTTTAGTAGAGATGGGATTTTACCATGTTGGCTAAGTTGGTGTGGAACTCCTGACCTCAAGTGATCCACCTGCCTGGGACTCCCAAAGTGCTGGGATTACAGGTGTGAGCTCCCCAAGTTCAGGGATTACAGGTGTGAGCAGCCCGGCCTGTTAGCTAATTTTCAGAAGATAGATACATTTTATACCTATCTAAAGTTTTTTTTTTTGGTCTGAATTTTTAGACTTATGGAACATTTTTATAAAGGGTGTTACTTTATTTCTTTCAGTAGTTAATATTTCACTTTCAGTTTTCTTCACTTTGACTAAGATTCCTATTAAGAGTTTAAAGCTTAAATGATAATTTTATTTCAACTGTAAAAGATGAATGTGTTAGAAATTGTTAGTTGTAGTTGGTCCAATGTATTGTAGTCAGTTCCCTTAATCCAAAATCATTTTTTTTTCCAGAAAAACTGTAATGCTTTCTTTGGAAATTAGGGCTAGGATAATAATCGGGTTGATTGAAATTTGACAAATGCACAATTTGCGAGTTTCCACATTTCAGTCAAATAGAAATATGATGAAATATGATTGGGTGTTGCCGGGCACGGTGGCTTACGCCTGTAATCCCACCACTTTGGGAGGCCGAGGCGGGTGGATCATGAGGTCAGGAGATCGAGGCCATCCTGGCTAACACGGTGAAACCCCGTCTCTACTAAAAATACAAAAAATTAGCCGGGCGTGGTGGCGGGCGCCTGTAGTCCCAGCTACTTGGGAGGTTGAGGCAGGAGAATGGCGTGAACCCGGGAGGAAGAGCTTGCAGTGGCACTCCAGCCTGGGCAACAGAGCGAGACTCTGTCTGAAAAAAAAAAAAGAAATATGATTGGGTGTCATGGCTCGCACTTGTAATCCCAGCATTTTGGGAGGCTGAGGTGGGAGAATTGCCTGAAGCCAGTAGTTTGAGACTAGCTTGGGCAAAAAAGCGAGGCCCTGTCTCTATAAAAATTTGCTGGGCATGGTGGTGTGTAACTGTGGTCCTAGCTATTGAGGAGGGCGAGGTAGGAGGATCACTTGAACCCAGGAGTTTGAGGCTGCAGTGAGTTATGATTGCATCACTCCGTTCCTGCCTGGGTAACAGAGCCAGACCCTGTCTTTAAAAAGAAACAAAAAATGATGAAATATGTAATTTTTTTTTTAATTGATCATTGAGAAGAGACTTCATGGCTGTGGAGCCTGAGGGTACAAGACTCTTAACTGTAGAATGTGGGAATATCTCTATGACACTGTGAAGTGGTATGTAAGTTCAGTTTGGAAGAAAAAGAGAGATCCACTTGTTTCCTTAATCTCTTGTCTCATTAAAATAGATACAGAATTTGGGTTGGCTGTTAGATTAGCTTACTGAGAAATTAGACAATTTATAAAGGATGTCAGAATTCTCAAGAGATAGATGGGGAGATGTATGAAAGAAAATGAGAAAGGGAAGCCTATGATAATGATCTAGTGGTGGTTTTATGGTAACTGTGAGCTTTATTTAGTGCTTTTTTTAGTCGTGAGAACTGTGTGCTTGGCAGTTTGGCTTACACTTTATTTCTTAAAAATGTAAATATTTGGAGTCCTCTTAACTGCTTCTTTACACATTTCACTCTCAGTTTTGTTGTTTTGCTTCTTAACAGGAATTTGTAATCAGCATATATTGCATTTCTTTTATAGTTTTATGACCTTTGTGAACTGTTCAGAACTGGAGGTCAGGTTCCTGACACAAACTACATATTTATGGTATGTAAACACCGCTGATATCAAGTGCTTGTTTAACATGGAAAGGATCTGACTTATTAAATGTAAATTGCATAATAATTTTTTGCCATGTGACAGTCCCCATTTCAGTATATGAAAAGGTGTGTATTAGTCCATTTTCATGCTACTGATAAAGACATACCCGAGACTGGGCAATGTGTAAAAGAAAGAGGTTTAATGGACTTACAGTTTCACATGGCTGGAGAAGCCTCATATTCATGCAGAAGGCAGGCAGGACCAAGTCACATCTTACATGGATGGCAACAGGCAAAGAGAGAGAGACACTGTGCAGGGAACTCTTGTTTTTAAAACCATCAGATCTCACGAGACTTACTATCATGAGAATGGCACAGGAAAGACTTGCCCCCATGATTCAATTACTTCCCACCGAGTCCCTCCCACAACATGTGGGAGTTCAAGATGAGATTTGGGTGGGGACACGGCCAAACCATATCAAGGTGATTGTGTAGTTTTCTACATTTAACTATGTCCTCTAATTAATTGCCTTAGTAAGCCACTGTAGATAGGGTTGGGTAGTAGCTATCAGTAATGGGTGGGCATAAAAATAACCCAGAACCCCTGGTTTAAGGCATAAATCTTCAATTGACTATTATTTATTCAAACTTTTCGAGCATTCATTTTTATCTCTTGTTAATCTATGGATGGATGAATATACACACATATACATTTGCTATTAAGGTAGATGTTTGCTTTTCTTTTGGAATGTAGTGTTAGTGTTACTGTTGAACTTTTTCTGGATCCTTCTCTCATTATCTTTCCTTCTGAAAGTTTCTGGGTCACTTTCCTATTCTTTTTTTTTTTTGAAACGGAGTCTCACTCTGTTGCCAGGTTGGAGTGCAGGTGTGATCAGCTTATTGCTACCTCTGCCTCCCGGGTTCAAGTGATTCTCTTGCCTCAGCCTCCTGAGTAGCTGGGATTACAGGCGCGTGCCACCATGCCCAGCTAATTTTTGTATTTTTACTAGAGACGGGGTTTCACCGTGTTGGCCAGGATGGTCAGGATGTCTTGACCTCCTAATCTGCCCGCCTCGGCCTCCCAAGGTGCTGGGATTACAGACATGAGCCACCGCACTTGGCCACTTTTCTTTCAGTTGTTTTCCTATTGGTGTAATATTGGCCCAAGTCAGACATTAATGGGAAGTGTAAATAGTGTATTATCATATATGGTTGTTAAATGCAAAACTGAACCTAGAATGCTGTTATAATTATGGTATTTGTTTTTACAAAATTTTTTTTCTTCTTCAAGTAGGCAGCTCTTCCAATGCAGTTAAAATTATTTCTTAAAATAGAAAATTATTTTATCTGGGCATGGTGGTGCACACCTGTAGTCCCAGCTACTTGGAGGCTGAGGTGGGATGATTGTTTAGGCTCAGGAGTTCTAGACCAACCTGGGCAACATAGTGAGACCCCCATCTCTAAAAAAAAAAAATTGAATTTTTAAAAATTAAATTACTTAAAAAATACTGGTTAACAGATGACCAAATCAACTAATGTAGGTAATAGAGGATTGAAAAAAATGGTGGTTTTGCCAGGTATGGTGGCTCACGCCTATAATCCCAGCACTTTGGGAGGCTGAGGTGGGCAGATCACAAGGTCAGGAGTTTCAGACCAGCCTGACCAACATGGTGAAACCCCCGTCTCTGCTAAAAATAGAAAAATTAGCCAGGTGTGGTGTCGGTGTGCGCCTGTAATCCCAGCTACTCAGGAGGCTGAGGCAGGAGAATCACTTGAACCCAGGAGGTGGAGGTTGCAGTGAGCCGAGATTGCGCAACTGCACTCCAGCCTGGGTGACAGAGTAATACTCTGTCTCAAAAAAAAAGAAAAAAGAAAAAAGCGAGAAAATGGTGGTTTTTCAGGGAATGTTCTTGAGAGAATGGCACAGCAGATTGTTGTAGGTTTCCCTGGAGTCCAAAATCTTGTTTCTATAAACATTTAATGCCGGGCGTGGTGGCTCACGCCTCTAATCCCAGCACTTTGGGAGGCCGAGGCGGGCGAATCACGAGATCAGGAGATCGAGACCATCCTGGCTAACACGGTGAAACCCCGTCTCTACTAAAAATGCAAAAAATTAGCCGGGCGTGGCGGCGGGCGCCTGTAGTCCCAGCTACTCGGGAGACTGAGGCAGGAGAATGGCGTGAACCCGGGAGGCGGAGCTTGCAGTGAGCCGAGATCGCGTTACTGCACTCCAACCTGGGCGACAGAGCGAGACTCCGTCTCAAAAAAAAAAAAAAAAAAAAAGAAACAGTTTGTTTACTTCTATTTTAATTTTTGTTAAAATCAAATTTCCAAATATTTCAGTATGTAACTCTTTATTGTAGTTATGAACCATGAGTTTGTGCAGTTTTATGTAATTTGAAAAGAATATTTTGGCTATTGTATTATTTGTAACTGTACACTTTTACTTCACAGGGTGATTTCGTAGACAGAGGTTACTATAGTTTGGAGACCTTCACTTACCTTCTTGCATTAAAGGCTAAATGGCCTGATCGTATTACACTTTTGCGAGGAAATCATGAGAGTAGACAGATAACACAGGTCTATGGATTTTATGGTAAGAACTCCTATTTCTCTGATTCTGAATATTATTTTACTTTCCTCTTTGGAAAACAAAGCTACACAAGTCATACACATGCTTTATGTATATTATTTTCCCCACATCCTCACTCCTTCACTCCTCCCCAACAATTGAAAATCTTATGCTGGAGAGATTACTGTTAACTTTTTGGTGTGCATCTTTCTAGATTTGTGCCTCAAAGTGTAGTCCTTAGTTTACCTTGCTGGAATCACCTGGGTTCTCGTTAAAAATGTAGATTGTGGGCTGGGTGGGGTGGCTCACTCCTGTAATCACAGCACTTTGGGAGGCTGAGATGGGCGGATCACAAGGTCAGGAGATCAAGACCATCCTGGCCAATATGGTGAAACCCCGTCTCTTCTAAAAATACAAAAATGAGCTGGGCGTGGTGGTGCATGCATGTAATCCCAATTACTCGGGAGGCTGAGGTAGGACAATCGCTTGAACCAAGGAGTCAGAGGTTATGGTGAGCCAAGATCACGCCATAGCACTCCAGCCTGGCGACATAGTGAGCCTCTGTCTCAAAAAAACAAAACAAAACAAAACAAAACAAAAATGTAGATTGCTGGGCCTCACCACAGATTTATTAATCAAAATACTTTGGAGTGGGAATCTAGAATCTGCTGAAGGTGAATGTTCTGCACAAATTGGAGAGTCCATTCTCATCTATTTTGTGTGTGTATTTATGTGTGTTTATATATGTACAAACACACACTAAAATGGGGTCATACCTGATTTTTTGACTTTATTGTTATGTTTATAGCTGCATCATATACCATATGGATGTACAATAATTGATGTATCAGTTTTTTCTCTATCATTGGACTTTAGGGTTCTTTTTAAGCTGCTGTTACACATCCTTTTACATATATCTCTGTATGCTCACTCCAGAGACTGCTAGGACCTCAGGGATCAGAAGCAGAACTTAGTCATAAAAAGCAAAATAGGCCAGGCGCAGTGGCTCACCCCTGTAATCCCAGCACTTTGGGAGGCCGAGGCGGGTGGATCACCTAAGGTCAGGAGTTCGAGACCAGTCTGACCAACTAAACCCTGTCTCTACTGAATATACAAAAATTAGCCGGGCATGATGGTGTGGGCCTGTAATCCCAGCTGCTTGGGAGGCTGAGGCAGGGAGAATTGATTGAACCCAGGAGGCGGAGGTTGCAGTGAGCCAAGATCGCGCCATTGCACTCCAGTCGGGGCAACTAAGCGAGACTATGGCTCAAGAAAGAAAAAAAAGCAAAATAGCTACTTCTCTAAAACTTTTATTTGGTTGAAAGTTACAGAGAGAGAGAGAGAGAGAGAGAGAGCGTGCGCTTATTAGGAACCCCCTTGAAGGAAATATAATTATCAAGATTATGAATTTGGATTTTCCTTGAGCACAATTAAGGCAGATATTGAGAGATTTGGAAACATTAATTGCAGAACTCTTTAGTTTTAAATTTTATATTTTGAATTATCTTCTGTCATTATAAAGATAGGCTGGGCTGGGCGTGTTGGCTCATGTCTGTAATCCCAGCACTTTGGGAGGCTGAGGCAGGCAGATCAGGAGATTGAGACCATCCTGTCTAATATGGTAAAACCGCGTCTCTGCAAAAAATACAAAAATTAGCCAGGCGTGGTGGCACTTGCCTGTAGTCCCAGCTACTCGGGAGGCTGAGGCAGGAGAATCGCTTGAACCTGGGAGGCGGAGGTTGCAGTGAGCCGAGATTGTGCCATTGCACTCCAACCTGGGTGACAGAGCGAGACTCTGTCTCAAAACAAAACAGAACAAAGATACTCTGAACTCTCTTACTCTTCAGTTTGTCTGCCATTATCAATTAGAGAAATTTCGATGATTGTTTTTATATAATTTTTTAAATACTTGTAAAGTTAGATAATATTTGTCTCCTTTCTACAAGTTACTTCTTATTTTCATTCACAAAATAAACACCAATTGAAATATAACTTTTGGATTCTTTTGCAAAATAATCAATATTTTAGATACCATACTATGATATTAGCTCAGTGAAAATACTAAAACTAATGTTATCAAAACACACACACCTACTATATGTATGTAACTAATGCTACATGCATAATATATAAAATGCATATTGTTATATATGACTAATATATGACATATGTTTTTTATATGTGACTGTTTTTATATATACAGTTATACTCCAGAATTCGCCCAGCTTTCATCAGTGTAGGGCTAAAGGGGAAAAAATGGGGTGAGGAAGGAGGACATTTTAATCAAGGTGCCTTGACTGAGGAAAATGACAGCAACACAAAATCTAGTATTGAACTTTCTTGTTCCCAGAACTCTGTTCTTGTAGTGGTGTTGTATGGTTTTGTTTAATAAAATGAAGCTTAACAGCTCCTCAGGAATAAGATAATTTTAGTTATTATAAGACTTACATTGATTTTAAAGGAATAAGATATCCCTATATAACTTTACACTGGGCCTTCAGTTCACACTGATAAACACGTACTGGGCAGTTACTATAGAGCCAAGCTCAAGATCCCTGCCTGCAACCCGAGCTAATTGTTAGGGCTCTCTTATGCCAATCTTGCTTCACATAGATATATAATTGAGAAAATCTTGGAGAGTGGTCATAACCTGCAGACTTCTTTCCTATATCATTTTCAGCTTCACTTAAGGCAATAGTGGTATGTCAGGTTTTTTTTTTTTTCTAAAATTATGGAAGAAGTCAAAGTGCAGAGCTTCCATGGTGTTAACAGAAGAAGTGTGTACCCTGTTAACTACGTAGACAGTCAGGGTATAGTGGCTCACATCTGTAATCTCAGCACTGTGGGAGGCTGAGGTAGGAGGATTGCTTGAGCTCAAGAGTTCAAGACCAGCCTGGACAACATAGGGAGACCCCCATCTCTACCAGAAATAAAATTAGTCAGGTGTGGTGGCACATGCCTGTAGTTCCAGCTATTCGGAAGGCTGAGGTGGTAGGATCGCTTGAGCCCAAGTGGTTGAGGTTACAGTGAGCTGTGATCTTGCCACTGCTGATTGCGCCACTGTATTCCAACTTGGGCGACAGAGTGAGACCTTATCTCAAAAACAAAAAGCTATGGAGGCAACAGAAAGAGTGTTCAACTCAGAATTTGTAAGAACCTGACTGGCAGTCCTCAGTTGTGATCCACTGAAGCTCAAGTGTTTAGTTGGACAATTTGCAGAAAATCTCAGAAGAGACAACTTAGCCCTGAGAAGAGTTAGGAATTGCTCATGTTCCTATAACTAAGGGTCCTCTAATTTGTTTGATCTGGTTATCCTGCTAGAATGGTCTCCTTTAATAAATTTATCTGTTTACCAGAATTACCTAATATTAACATAACTATAAAAACATTTGCTTCAGGTTGTGTGAAATTTGTATTTGACTCTTCTAATGATAGCCTTTTGGTTAATAATTTCAGCTGCTTCTTAGGTCCATTCCAGGAATGAAGAGCAGTACTACATCCTTAGGAAATACAGTCATGTGCCACATAATGACATTTCAGTCAATGATGGACTGTATATATAACAGTGGTCCCGTAGATATAACGGAGTTGAAAAATTCCTATTGCACAAATACCCTTGTGTTACTATTTCCTTATGATATTTAGTACAGTGACATGCTTCACAAGTTTATAGCCTAGGAGCAATAGGCTATATCATATTGCTTAGGTGTGTAGTAGGCTAGACCATCTGGGTTTAGTAAGGATATGTGATGATGTTCACACAATGACGAAATCACCTAACAATGCATTTTTCAGAATGTATCCCCATGGTTAAGGGACATATAACTGTATATAGTTAGTCACCAGTGTTCTTTTGGCTCTATGTGGAGGTCCTAGTAGGACTAAATATGTGTCATATCTTGCTGTCCTAGTTTAAGCTGAATTTCTGTTGTACTGAATGCTGCTCTAGTATTGGATATATTGTTTATTTTTATTGGCAGATTCATTAATTAAAACCCTTCTGTTTCTTTCACAGATGAGTGCCAAACCAAATATGGAAATGCTAATGCCTGGAGATACTGTACCAAAGTTTTTGACATGCTCACAGTAGCAGCTGTAAGTTTCTATTTTTAAAGTCTCATGTATGTTCCTGCCAATAACACATTGCATATTTTTATCTAGTTGTCATCTCAATTATGTTGATATCTTTAGTATTCATTGATGAATTTAGATATGCCTGAGGTTATATGTTCAACTCTTTGTTATCCTTTTTTGCTAGTTAATAGATGAGCAGATTTTGTGTGTCCATGGTGGTTTATCTCCTGATATCAAAACACTGGATCAAATTCGAACCATTGAACGGAATCAGGAAATTCCTCATAAAGGAGCATTTTGTGATCTGGTTTGGTCAGATCCTGAAGATGTGGATACTTGGGCTATCAGTCCGCGAGGAGCAGGTTGGCTTTTTGGAGCAAAGGTCACAAATGAGGTAAAGTCAGCATTTTTGGAAAAGTAATTTGTAGATTGCTAATGGACTGCATAGAGAACTATGGTGGCCCTAGATAACTAACTTGTAGTCTAGCTTACTCAAAATATGGTGGCTGTGGATATTAAATTTCTAGTTTAGTTATTAATGTATGTCTTTTTTTAATGGTTAAGTAAGATCACACAGCGAAAGCACCTACTCCAGCATCCACTTGGTAATAGTGGATAAAGTAAATGTTCTTTTCCTTTTTTTTTTTTGAGATGGAGTCTTGCTGTGTCGCCCAGGCTGGAGTGCAGTGGCATGATCTTGGCTCACTGCAACCTCTGCCTCCCAGGTTCAAGCAATTCTCCTGCCTCAGCCTCCTGAGTAGCTGGGACCACAGGTGTACGCCACCACGCCCGGCTAATTTTTGTATTCTTAGTAGAGACGGAGTCTCACCATGTTGGCTATGCTGGTCTTGAACTCCTGACCTCAGGTAATCCACCCACCTCAGTCTCCCAAAGAGCTGGTATTACAGGTGTGAGCCACTGTGCCCAGCCTGCCCCTTTCCTTTCAAATACTGTAGTTAAGTAACAAAATGGCAAGACCAAGATAGGCAGTATTTTTTTTTTTTTTTAAAGACCTCAAATCACACAGATACAGACACTTTATTAGTTTCCTCTACAAGAGCCAATAACATCAATCTTTTTTTTTTTTTTGAGACAGAGTTTCACTCATATTGCCCAGGCTGGAGTGCAGTGGCGCAATTTCGGCTCACTGCAACCTCTGCCTCCTGGGCTCAAGCAATTCTCCTGTCTCAGCCTTCTGAGTAGCTGGGATTACAGGTGTGCACCAACACGCCTGGCTAATTTAGTATTTTTAGTAGAGACGGGGTTTCACCATGTTGGTCAGGCTGGTCTTGAAGTCCTGACCTCAGGTGATCTGCCCACTTTGGTTTCCCAAAGTGCTGGGATTACAGGCGTGAGCCATGGCGCCCGGCCTATGTCAATCTTTTTTTTTGAGGCAGAGTCTTGCTCTGTCACCCAGGTTGGAGTGCAGTGACTGGTCTTGGCTCACTGCCAGCTCCACCTCCCAGGTTCATGCCATTCTCCTGCCTCAACCTCTTGAGTAGCTGGGACTACAGGTGCCCGCCACCTGGCTAATTGTTTGTATTTTTAGTAGAGATAGGGTTTCACTGTGTTAGCCAGGATGGTCTCGATCTCTTGATCTCGTGATCCGCCCGCCTCGGCCTCCCAAAGTGCAGGGATTACAGGCGTGAGCCACGGCGCCTGCCCCTTTTTTTTTTTTTTTTTAAAAAAAAAAACAGAAATCTCTGTTCATTTGAAATGCCAAGTAGATCCAAAGAAGGAAGATGGCAATTAAATACTTAAACTAATCAAAAGGCACTATGAGACCACCTAAAACCTACTACCACAGTGGTAGTAGGCTAAGGAAGATCAAGCTACAGCAAATCATGTAATGTGAATGTTAGCGATTACATAGCAGGAAGCACATTTGCTTTCCAGAAGACTATGGTGCAGTGTTCCTTTGGGCCCAAGAGGATATTTGGCCAGGAAAGGATCAAGATGGATGAAGGTAAAGCCAAATCAAAGGAATAGGTACAAAAGAGAATCCAAGCTACGTAGTCAAGCAGATGATGATGAATCAGGCTTCTTCCTCCCAAGAAACATTTGCTGCACTGTGCTGCTTCCCCCCTCCACTACCTCCCACCCCCCACCCCATGGCTGCTCAAGTCCAACTGCCTGTTCCTGCCTTACAGGGTGCTCAGCCACTGGGACTAGGTTTGGGGTTGCCCAGGGCTCTTGCCATAATTTAGCATAGACCTTGGGGAGAACTGCTCACACATGGGTTGGCTTTGTTGCTGGTTGTTCTCAACAAAGAAAACCCTGAAGCATTCACATGCAAAGTAGTCTCAGCTTCTCCAATCACAGTCAGACACCCCCACACAATATCCTCAAAAGTCTGAAATCTTGTAACAGCTGAGCTCTCGTTAAAGCTGCAAGACTCACAATATCATCAAGGAAGCCAGAATGAGACAGTGCAGGTAGGAAGTCCCAGCAGTTAATCTCAACCCGTCTTTCTCCATTTCGGATAAGCTCAGATATACCTGATGTGGGATATTGAAAGCTACACTGGAGTAAGCTGGGTCTTCTGAATTTGTCATCAAATACCAAGGGAAAACAAGGGGTGGGGTGGATTTTATTCTTAAAAAACCTCAGAAGTAACTGTGTTATAAAGGGACATGACTGAATAGGTAAGAAATGGATTCTTCATTGTGAGTTTTCCTGATGGCTTCTGCAAGGATCACAGAGATGTTGATCACCTGTATTTTGGAGCAGTGCTTCATCTTGTCGTCCTGGGGTATGGTATTGGTGACTACTACTGCTTTAAAGCATGCGTTGTTGATGTGAGAAATAGCTGGACCACAGAAGATACTGTGAGTCAAGATAGCATAAACTCTGGTGACTCCAGCTAAGAGAAGCTTGTCAGCTGCATGGCAGATTGTGCCACAAGTGTCAACCATGTCATCCACAAGGATGGCCACCAGATCCTTCACATCTCCCACAAGCACCATACGATCCACTTAATTGGCCGCCTTTGTGAATCAAGGCAAAGTCCACATTCAGCCTGTTTTCTATGGAGTTCACTCTCTTAGCTCCACCAGCATCAGATGAGACAATAGTGCAGTTCTTCCGCTCAGAGATATTCTCCCTTATCCACTTCAGGACACCTAGGTCTGCATACAAGTAGTTCACTGGGATGTCAAAAAAACCCTGAATTTGAGAAGCATGTAGGTCCATGGTGATAATATGATCTGCACCTGCTACAGATAGCATATTTGCAACAAGCTTGGCTGAGATTGTCACCGGACTCTTGTCTTTCTTATCCTACTGGGCATAAGGGAAGCATGGGATGACTGCAGTAAGCTGACTGGCTGGCTGAAACAATCTTGCAGGTATTAATCAGGATTAGAGGTGCCATTAAATTATTGTTGATTTCACCACAACCACTCCAAATGATACAGACATTCTCTCCACGTACACTTTCGCCAATTTCCACACAGGTCTCCTAGTTGCTGAATTTCTTAGTCACTACCTTGCCAAGCTCCAGGCCCAGGCAGTCAGCAGTTTTCTGAGATAAGTCCTGGTGGGAGCTGCTGCTGAAGATTTTGATATTCAGGATCCTGGCCAACTACCCTAAGCACTTTTCACTAAGTGATCACTGCTGCTGCAGAGACTGGAATCAAAGTCGGTCCAGGGACTCAATGCTAACAGCTTTGTGATGCTACCCCACCATCTTCAAGATAGGCAATACTTTGAACTTTTAACTGTTTTCAACTAAATACACACACACACACACACACACACACACACAACTTTATATTGGGAAGCGCTCCAGCATCACAATGAAGTCAGAAAACTAGATCCTGATCTTGTATCAGTGCATCTTAATTTAGATAAGTTATTTATCTAGTCTGAGCTTTTGTTTCCTTAAGTTGCAAAAGAATAATCTCTTTCAGAATTATTGCAACATCTACACATACTAAACTTTCAGTAAATTGTAGATACTGATAGTAATATCTTTATTATTAAATCAGAAAACACAAAATTTTGATTCATAGTACCTATTGAATGCTTTTTCTTCCAGAAATTTCTAACTATGTACCTATACAGTTTCTATAGCTGTGTAGTTGACTCAGCCCAAAATTGCTCTGTTTGCCTAAACTTATTAAATTGTTGGGGATAATTACAGAGGGGTTCTATAATCATGATGCATTTAGTAGTAATAGGATTTGGTATTTAAATAATTATTTTCTTACGTATGTAGGGTGATTGTTTTTTAAGTGCTAAATACTTACAGTGTCTTTCTAAATTGCAGTTTGTTCATATCAACAACTTAAAACTCATCTGCAGAGCACATCAACTAGTGCACGAAGGCTATAAATTTATGTTTGATGAGAAGCTGGTGACAGTATGGTCTGCTCCTAATTACTGCTATCGTTGTGGAAATATTGCTTCGATCATGGTCTTCAAAGATGTAAATACAAGAGAACCAAAGTTATTCCGGGCAGTTCCAGATTCAGAACGTGTTATTCCTCCCAGAACGACAACGCCGTATTTCCTTTGAGGCCTTCGCCCATCCTGCTGACCCATTTTTCTGCCCTCTTCTTACCCCAATTTTCTTGTATTACCCTCTACAATATACTTTTTATTGAGCACTTTGCTGCTGAAATGCTGCCTCTTGCCTTTTTTTTTTTTTTTTAAATTTTAAATTATCTAAATTTATTGTTTGTTGTGGTGTCTATAGCAAAGTTTTTCTATCAATTTTCCCCCCATCCCATCCCCACCCTGGACTCATTTGAGAAGACTTGAGAAATGTCTTCATACTCACACTGCTGCATGTAGCTCTTGCTTATTTACTGGTCTGGGAAACAGGATGTGTTTCCTTTTTTTAAAAGCCAATTGACAAATTACACCTAAATACTCCTCCTTTTTGTATCATTCAGCCTTTTGTTTTAGTTTGGTAAGTTTTAAGAAATTTCAGCAGCAAAGTTGTTATTCCGTGGGCACGATGGACTCCAAATGCCTCAAATTATGTATACCTGTCCCAGATGTAAACTTCATTGTCCTTTGTTGGATGATATTTTAAATGGATATAAAATAAATTGGTCTAAAGGGCTGCCCTCCTTGTTGTGTTTTTAAATTTTAGTTAAAAACTGCTACAGCTTATGACTTTGTACATTAAGATAATTGTATTGATCTTTTTTCAGATTCCTTGTATTTTTAATAAAGTAATCTTAAATAAAAGATAGGTTAAGTGTTAGAAATTTTAAACAGCTTACATTGTTAGTGTAAAGTTATCTTTTCTTTTTTCCTAATCAGAGTTCTTGACCCTTTGGTTATTGAGTTTAAAACTTCAATTGAAATTCAATAGTATTTATTTTTTAAAAAAATCACTAAACTGTGCCTAAAGAACATAACTGCCATATTAATGTTTTGGTTTATATCCTCTATAGTAATAGAAAAACATTTAATACTTGTAATGCTGATGTGTTAATTTGATACCAGTTGAGTAGAATGTGATCAATCCAGTTTACAATCCATCATGAGTATTATTAACTAAAATCTATGTACTTTTCAATAGGAATCATTCTTCTCTTGCTGTAACACTTGACCTTAACTTTTAGAAAGTGTTCATTTTTAAACTGCAACTGGAAAGGCTGAAAAGTCAGGACTCTTGTATTTGTGAACTGTAATCTGAAGCAGATTATTTAAAGCGTAGAAAAAGGAACAAGTTGTTCTTTTTTGCAAAGATCTGTGATTCCATATTTCAGCTTTGTGTAAGTAATTTGAATATCCAAAGGGTTGTGATGATCAGTTCTTAATATGCAACCGTCCACTTAATAAGGACAAGTATTCCAGTATCTCTTATGACTGTAGTCATAAATGATGTTGGAATGCACCATTTTGTGAAATAGTTGGTATCCCTTTACTATAATTAATTTTTGTCAATCCAGGAAATATTTGTGGAGCCAGCCAATTAATAAAGCACTTTAGCATCTGTTCAGGTAGTTTTGAAAACCAACTTTTCCCCTTCAGGATAAGAACTTCCAGGTTACCTAAAAATGCAATAAAAATCTTTATAGTCTAAGCTTCTTGGCAAATAATTTTTCATCAGGGTTTTCTTTTACTAAATGAGCACAATACTGTTTTGATTTTATTTTTTTCCCTGAAACCACCAGCTCCTTACATAGTTTTTAATTATATAGCTATATGAAAGAGGTGGCTAAGACATTTGCTGCACACACTTGAACTAATGTTGGGTCAGTAACTTCGTGTTACTGCCCTGACACCAGTGTAATTCAGGTGGAAAGGTATTTTTATCTTACAGGGATATGTAGCTATGTATTTTACTAATTGTGAAACACTGGAAATTAATGATGCAGACAACTTGGTGTGGTCTTTGAACAGCTCTCTGCAGTATTTTTTTTTTTTTTTTTCCTGTTACCATATATTGTATTTAAGTGCTCGCTTTCTACTTAAGTTGTACCAATAGAACCGGTAACTCCCAGCCCTCCCTGTTTGACACTCCTTAGCTTAGATTGATGTAGTTGTTTTTGTTATCCCTATAATGTGACTTTTATTTTTAAGTCATTGTGTACTGCATTTGTTTGTCACTAGTTGGGCACGTGCCAATAATATTCTCTCCATTCCTTAACTGCCATCTCTGTTTTGCCTGATTTCTCTTCAACTGAATAATGGCTTTTTGCATGGAAAAAATAGTTTTTACTATTAGATGTGTAAAGGGAAGAGAGAGCTAATGTATTGGACTTTGTGAGCCTACAAGGAATATTTTGGATCCCTCCAATAAATAAGGGCTATGTACTATATGTACTATATAGAGTAATCATGTGGTGGAAGATACTTGCAAGTCATAGATTTATGGGCAGGAGGATTTGTTACTCCCTGTATCTAGGCTGAATGTAAAATCCCTTATGTTGTATCAATGGGGGTAAGAACTATTTTTATTTGCCTATGATATACTTGGTTTCTAATAAAGTGCCCTAGGCTCTAGTGAGAACTGTCTACTTTGAATTGCCATTTACTCCCTTTCCTCATTTGGCCGATATGCTCTTGGCTAGCTTTTTATAAGTTAATGTGTTTCCCTAAAAAGTTTCACTACTTTATTTGAGTGTGATCCTAAAATGCCTGGATCAATAGTACATCTCATATGCAACTTGCATCAGCTCCTATTCTGTCTGGATGTCTAGAACTGTTGGAAAATTTTGACGTCTTAAGCCCTAGGTTTTGCTTTGGGAAATAAGGTTTGAAATATTGTTCACTGCATTAAGATTTGTGTGTGTTTGCTTTGTAAGCCCAGCACCAGGTTTTGGAAAATGCCTGTACTGTGAAAGTAAATCAGGACTCTTTCTGAGCCTCTTTCATTGTCAGAAATAGAATCGCTTTCCATCAGCTTCCAGGAAATTGTGTATCTGGAGTCGAAGAGATTTAACAGCAAGAATCCAGATTTTTAAATGTAATTGTTTTTTAAATGCTAATGTTTGTAAAGCACCTTCAGTTCTTCGGATGAAAGGTGCTATATTCCCTCAGTGTAAATTAATAAAAAGATTATAGGAAGTTTGTCAAAAAATTTAATGCATAGTCTGTAGTATGTCCTGACAAGAAGTTAGCATTTTATATAAGAAATTAAAAAATGCTTATTCCTCCACTTGGTTGCTTGACTGGTAAACAAAAGTGAAACCTTTTTTTTGTTTTGTTTTGCATTTGACTCTGAGCTAAGTGTTCCAACTCTTTAAAGGCAATGTTTATTGTTACAACCTCGATCCAGTGCCCAGAACTATGCTTCATGAGATCATTACAACTCTTTAAATTGTGTATTTACAGTGTGCAGTGATGCTGACGAAATACACAGTAGTAAACCAAAAAGAAACATTTGGAAAGTCCCCTAGCATGACGCCAGACACACTAGATGCTTGGGGAAGGTTGGTTCTGCATTCCCCTCCTGTTAGTTTTCTATTTCTCTATCAACTTCTTGGTGAATTTGTGCCTTTACCCTCATGAGAGTAGGCTTATGCTGGCTTAGATCATTCAAATATTTTCTTAATTCAAAAATGCGTGGCATTTATAGATTTGTGTTGTCAACAAAAATACTACATAAGTATATTCCACTCAATCCCTAGGCACCCACTATTCTCAGCAGCACTCTGCTTTTGTATATAAATGGTGGGTTATAAAAGACTGCATGGAGGCATTATGGAATAGCACAGGCTTTGGGATCAGATCTAGGTTAAAACCCCAGCTCTGCCATGCAGTAATAGCAACTAACCTGTATTCAGCATATGTAGCTAAATTGTTACGTTCTTTATTTTGTGATGCCCTTGCTATGGGTCTGTAACTACATTACCTTTAATTTTTTTTTTTTCTTGGTAGAGAGAGGGTCTCCCTATGTTGCCCAGGCTAATCTTGAACTCCTGGCTGAAGAGATCCTCCTATCTCGGCCTTCCAAAGCACTGGGATTACAAGCATAAGATTCTGTGCCCAGCCCAAACTTTTAAAAAATTAATTTTGTTCAGCCTTCTCTAGAACTTTTTTCCCCAGATGAGGAAATAGGCTTAGAGAGGACAGGTGACTTGTTTAAGGTTGCACAGGAGAGCTGGAACTTGAATCCCTAGAGGGCACACCAGAGTACATCTTTAGCCCTCTATTTTAAGCAATATTGGTTATTGTAGCTGTGTGACCCTGAACAAATTGAATTTTCTGAATCTTAAATTTCTGTGTCTAAAATAAGAGAGTATCAGACAGGGTTAATCTCAGTATTAAAAATAGCACACACAAAGCGCCCAGTGTCTGGTCCAAAGCTGCTTTTTATTAAGGGCTCATACTCATAGGCCATTTGTTCAAATTCATTGTAGTTGGGAAGAATAATCCAAGGCAATGTGTAATTGCTAACAGTGTAGATTTTGTAAGTACAACACATCTGGAGAAGGAAATGTTCGATGTAGGACGGAGTAATTGGCGAAAATACAGAGGAAGTGTGAATTAAATGTGGTCTGGAATGATGGGATTTGTGTCTTACAGAGTAAAAACAACCAGAGATCACTTGGACACAATGTGAAGACTTGAGGATCCTTTTTGGGAAGGCGTAAGAAATGAATAGCTTCTGTTCTATTGACAATATCTGATATATATCAGTGAGGATTGGTCAGTTATAGAAGATGCTAAAAAGCAGGCAGTGGTTTTTTAATAAGGAATGTAATAAATGTATTTCAAGATTACTTCCTTAGTGAGTTGATGATCCCCCTTCGTCTGACGCAAATTATTCTGGAGTTCTTTCCTCTGGCTTGATAATATGGGTGGAAACTGGTGGTTGAGATTGAGCTGATTTGTGGTTCTGTGACTAGAATTACATGAAATATTAATTTGGGGGGCCAACAGAGATTTGACATTTTTTCTTTGTCAAAGCAATTTTTCAAATCCTGCTACAATTTACCATCAGTATTACTTCATAAATGGAAAGTCATTTTACCATTAAAGATATAGGTAGGACCATCTCAGAAGAAAAGACAGCTCTTTACACCAAATACATTTGGTTTTATGAAAAACTAGTATCTTAATATTTGCCATTTATGGAGATCAATGAGAGATTTTCCCCACCCCAATGTTGACATGTACTACTCGAGGCTGTCATATTATTGAAGCATAAAAGATGTTCTAATAAAATGGAAGTGGCTTAAGAGAAAGTTTTATGCCTCCTCCCAACTCTGAACAGATGCTAAGAATTTACTAAACAAGTGCGCACAGGAGTAGTGATTTAGAGAGGCCTTCTCACCTTCAATAATTTTATAATACGTTAATGAGCTGAGTCTTATTTCCAGGGATGGCTTTGTTAAAGCAGAAGACGATGGGTAACTAATTATGCTTATGAAAGGCAGTTTTGCATGCTTGTCTGTCAAAAAATACAGTAAAATTTATTTTAAAATTGATTAATTGGTGTAGAACTTGCAATGGTCACAGAATCAGGATGGTCGGCTTACATTCAGGGATTAAATTTGTCCAGGCCTTTCAAAATAGAACACGTTGCTTTTAGTATGGCATTGGTTCTGTTTGCAGTACTGATTTTTCTTTCACGGTAATTAAAAAAAATCTTGCTTTCTTAAAAGCCTGCACCCAAGCTAGTGATCTTTTCTGCAGAGGATTGAGCATCCCAACCATGCTTTATTTTGGTGGATTCTTACAGTTTTCTGGCTGGGTCCTTTTTGGAGGGTAGCTGTGAGCTGTGAGACAATTTCAGCAAGATGTAGGGACAAGGATCGCATTCGAGGTGGCTTAAAAGGAAACATGTTTGTGAGAGTTGCCTCACTGTCTCACCTGCTAGAGGAAACTGGGAGATTTCAGGGTTTGTTTTCGGTCCTGGCGTGGTGCAGAGGTGGAGGGGCGCCAGCAGGTGTGTGGGATGCAGGACGCAAAGCCAGGAGAACCTGGGGCAGGTGTCTGGAGCCGGGGGTGCAGTTCCTATTTTTCGGCGCTTGGTGGCGCTCGGGTCTCCTCCGGCCCTGCTAGCAATCTCTAAGGCACCTCCGCCGCCACCTGCAGTCTCAACCAAACCTCTGGGTGGGCAGCGCGGGATGTGATGGGCCGAGCGTCCAATCGACTGACAGGTTTCCGTCCACACTACTGAGCTAGCCAATGGGAGCCGAGGAGAGGCGCGGAGAAGGCGGGCCCCGCGGCAAGCCTGGCAGAGGCGCGAGGCCCTCCTCCCGCCTCTCCGCCTACTCCAGCCTCCGCCGCCTCAGCTTCCCGAGCGAGCCCTGCGGCCGCCGGAGCAGCTCCCGCGGCGGAGCAGGAGCCGGATGGTCAGAGGAGCCCGGCAGCCCCAGCAGCCGCGGAGTCGCCTGGCCCCCAGGTGGGGCAGGGGCTGGGTGGAGGCCGGGGTTGGGGATGGGGCGGGGACCAGGGAGAGGGCCCAGGGGCAGCGGCTCGGGGCCGCGGAGCATTCGGGGCGCAGAGACCGGAGGGGCGGGGGGTGCAGGCTGGGGGGATCTGGGGAACGGCCGGAGGCGGCGGCACGGGCTGGGCGCGATCGCATCCTCGAGGCCAGGTGAGAGGGGCGTGTGAGGGAAGGGGCGCCGAGGAGTGAGGCTGGCGGCGCGGGGCCGGGAGGGGCAAGGCGCGCGCGCCCCCGGAGGGGCCGTGGAATGCGGGGGTCGCCGGGCCGGGAGAGGCGGGGCGTGGAGAGGGCAGTGTGCGGTCGGGAGCGGGTGGGCACAGGAAAGGGGAGGCTGGGGGAGCTTACGGGGGTGACGAGGCAGACAATGAGTAGGTGGAGGTGGGTGATTTTGGGGAGCTGGGCTGTGACGAGCAGGGGTTGAAGATGGGGTGAGGGACCAGGAAGGTTTGGGCTCAGGGGGAATTGGGGGAACGGTGAGTCCCAGGAGTGCTTGGTCTTGGGAAACAGGGCATAAGGCGTTTGTAAGGTCAGGTCTGGGCTTGGCGAGCCTGTGGTCCCAGAGGGTGGTCTGTTTAGTTCTTGTCTGGCACGGTAGCGCCGGGAGATGTTTTCTTGTATATTACTTTTAGTTACTGTCTTATTTGTTTGGTCTGTAGACTGACTGGCACAGTGGAGAAACCGCCTCGAAAACGGAGAAGCAGGTAAGGCAGTGCCTTCCTATTTTGCTTCATGTTTTTCTTTTTGCTTGGCTGCACCTGTGCCGTACTGCATAATTGTACACTGTCAGTAGATGAAGTGTCTTATTTATCCCCTTTTTAAAATAAAATAACCACATGCATGATTTTTCTTTTGAGGACTTCAAATTATTACCTCTATAGTCGATTTTTTATTTTTTTTTGGTATCTAAGATAATGTGGGAAATCTTGAGAGATCCTACTTTTTTACTTTATGATGTTGTGTAAGGATCTCAGCTAGTTTTTTTTTTTTTTTACCTTAGCCATAATTTCAGTTTCTCCAGCATCTCTGTTTAAAAAGCTCATCTTGGCTGGGGTGGCTCATGCCTTCAATCCCATGAGGCATGAGATTTGGGAGGCTGAGGCAGGAGGATCATTTGAGCCTGGGAGTTCAAGACCAGTCGGGGCAACAGAACAAGACTCCGTCTCTATAAAAAATTGAAAAACTAGCCGGTCCCATGCATATATACACCTACTATGTACCCACAAAAACAAAAAATAAAATTAAAAAAACCCACAAAAACTAACTAGCTGAGCAGGTGTTGTGGACCTGTAGTCCCAGCTTCTCAAGAGGCTGAAGTGGGAGGATTGCTTGAGCCCAGGAAGTCAAGGCTGCAGTGATGCAGTGAGCCATGATCATGCCACTGCACTCCAGTGTGGGGAACACAGCAAGACCCTGCCTCAAAAAATAAAAGAAACTAATTTTATTGAGTATCAACTATGTGCCAAGCACTGTGTGCAAATGCTCTATATGTATCTTCTCCTGTAATCCTCAAAGCACCCTAAGAGAATATTTAGTGTTGTCACTGTTTTACAGAAGAGGGAACTGTGACACAGAGGGGCCAAATATTTACCCAGAATCATGCATCTAGTAAAAGATAAAACCAGGATTTGAATCTAGACAGTCTGACTCCAGAGCTTAAGCTCTTAACTGTTATACCATAATGC